TGGAGGGATTGGCGGTGTACCCGCATCGGGCTCAGTCTCTTTGCATTGGAGCCTGGCTGCATGGCACGTGCATCCCTGCACACTGCATCCGGCCCCGCGGGTGCCTCGGCGGGTGCATTCATGTGTGGTGCATGTCTGTGTGTGCCGGGGCTGGGCTGCATGTCAGAGCTGGCACACATGCAAATGGAAACCCTATTTGCTCTGCGAGTCTCTCTTCCCCCAGACCTCACTGAAGTGATGGTGCAGCTCTTTTGCCCCTGCCCAGCACCCAGGATTGGAGTTTTCCCCTCCCCTCCTCTCTCCCCTCTGTTAATGCTCCAGGTGACTGGGGAATGCCCCAGGCAGAATTAAGGTAGGGGGAAACCTCTGTGTGGCCCCTTCTTTCCTTTTCCCTCCACTCTGAGCTCAAGACAGCAGAAGAGCCAGAAGGCACTGCTTCGTTGCAGCATGCAGTATTGTGGCAGGATGGTGTCAGTGAAGCCCAGCTCCCAGGGATGGACATGTGCCTGGATCCCACATGCCTGCACCCCGGGGGCACTGCATGGACCAGGCAGAAAGGAGGATCCACATCCTGAAGCCTGGCAGAGCATCTCTGTTGTCCACTCCTCCTCTCCTGTGCAGCCACTGGGCAGGGTAGATCCCCGAGCCCTCTGTGCCAGCAGCCACCTACAAGGGCTCTTGACCTGGGCGTCCTCTTGCTCCCACCCCTTTCACACCAACCAAACCACCATGGGCAGAACCAAGTCTACATCTGGGAGAGCAGCATGAAGAGCAGCAAGGCTCCCACAGCCTGTGAGGAGCCTCCTGAGCTTCTCTGTGCCAGGCCTAGGTGCAACACAAGGCAGCCCTCATTTCCACTTTGTCCTTTCTGAAATACACATGCTGTGTTCAGAGTCCGGGGTCTCAGCTGCCAGGAAAGTTGCTGCCATCAAGGTGCTGCACTGGCCACCGTCGAGGTCTGTCCCTTGACAACAGGAGGTGCTCTGTGCTCTTCAACCCCATCAACAGAGCTTCAGAGACTATGGAACAGGCTCCTCACATCCTCAGGTGCCTGAAGGTGCAGAGAAGCACCCTGGAGGATCTTGAACAGCACTTCAAGTACCTGCACTGCTTTCAAGGATCCCCAAGGGCACCTACTTGTCTTTTCAGGTGTGGCACTTTTGAAGCACTTGTCTGTGCTCTGTCCCATGGGAGCAAGAGCTGTGTGCTCTTGCTCTGCAAGTCCCTGTGGACTCCGCATGCAGACAGAGGCAGGACACACCCCAAACTGGGGTACCAGATTCAAAGGGTGTTCTGCCAAGCATCTTCCTTCCCCTTGACGCTGCTAAACTGGAATGTGGAGCACCTTGAGAGCAGCTTTGTTTCTTGCTGCCTTGCCAAGGCACAGAGTAGAGGAGAGGCAAGGGAAAGGAGATATAAGGCAGCTCATTTAGGACCAGCGGGCTGTCTCAATGCGACGGGGAAGCTGGTGGAGGCTGTCCCTAGGAGACAGACAGGGTCCGTACAGGGCAGGCAGTGCTGTGGGATGCTTGGCTCACGCTGCTGTAGACAAGCTGCACCAGCAGAGACGTACTGAAAACACTGTCTTTGTGTTGCTTTGCCTAGACCCAAGAGTGCCCAAGGCCAGGAGGCAGATGCACAAGCCCGGGTGGAGCTGAGCAACTGGCAGACCCTGCCCTCAAGCAGCAGCAGCAGCAGCAGAGCAGCCACAAGAGCCTGGGGTATTAATGCCCCTGCTGAGCCCAGCACCTCTCACTGTCCCACAAAATACAGCATTTGCCTCTGCATAGGGGATGGCTGTATAGTTCCCTGGCCCCTGCTTGGCATGCCTGGCTGCTGGCAAGCTCTCACCTCCTTAGCCAGAGCCTGCAGACTCCAGCCCTGTCTGCCCCCTCGCCCCAGCCCCTTGCTGGCCCAGGACCCATGCAGGCAGGAAGCTGCAACTCATCCTGAGGAGAAGGCAGGCAGCAAAATGCAGTCTCAAGTCAAACCTGATGCCAAGGCAATGGGTATAAAAGGGCTTCTCAGGGCTCCTGTCTCCTTTAGCAAAGGTCAGAGCCAGCCACCCCAGTGACCTGTGGGATTTCTCCCATGGCAGAACTCAGCTGGAGCCAGCAGGGTCCCTCCTGGCCGGCCTCAGGGCCGCCCAGTGCAGGCAGCTGGGCTGGGGCAGAGGGAGTGCTCACACCCAGGAGAGAAAGGGCTCTCTGCTCTTACTTTTGTAGGAACCTGCTGGATAACACCCAGTAGCTCCTGAGCTGGGCAACCTTGCAAGCAGCCAGCCCAGAAGCCATTGCCAAGCACAAAGCTTGCAGGAGGCAGAGTGGAAAGACCTGGGAAAACCTGCAGCCGCAGCGGGGCCAGGGAGGCCTGGCCAGGTTTATGTCTCATGTGTGAGACTTGCTCCACATTGGTCACCTACCTGGATCTCGCATGCAGGCAACACAATGCCTCTGGCTCTCTGTTCCATGTCCCCTGATAATACGGGTCCTGGCTCATGGGTGCACATCACAGTGGAAGCCCCATCACCAAAATGGTCCCACAGGCTGTTTGGGTTCTGCTCCGCATAGTGCTGGGGTCACCCCTTGCCTTCTCCCGAACAGACACAGCAAGCAGCAGGCTGGCAGGACGTGGGCTCCTGGCTCCTTTGGGCAGAAGAAAGCCCTCAGAGTGAGCTAAGCTGTTGCACGTGGATTGAGCCTGGGCTCAATCCCGGGCCCTCTCAGGAGAACGAGAAGCCACTACCTGCAGATCTGAACCTCATCTGAAGATGTTGCACCCCAGCAGCAGCAGACGGCATCCTCAAGCCAGCTCTGGCTCCCACAGAACATGCCTGCTGTGAACAAGGAGGAGAACAGGAACCATGCAGCGCTTAACGGCTCTGGCTCATCACAGTTGGCTGCAACACAGCTCTGCATCCCCAAAGCACTATATAAACACTGGCTGATTAATCCCACAGCCCCCTGGGGAGCTGGGCAAATCCAACAGCTCCATCCAGCAGAGTCAATGTGGATGCTCTCGGCAGCACGAGCTACGCTCAGCGCAAGACCCTTTGCTGCTCCCCATGGCGCTCCCCAACCAGCCTGCTTCCCACAGCAGACTGGGGGGCCTTGGGCTGTGCTGGTGTCTGCATGGTTTGCACATTGCTGCATTCCTCATATCTGCCCTTGCTTCTCCTTGACCACGTCTCCTCAGCTTAAGGGCGGATCAAAGGCCAGCTACAAACCAAGTTAGCCATGAAACCCAGGCTTGCTCCTGGCAACTCAGATTGCCCCATCTTTCTCCTGGCCTGTCCTACGTGTGGCTGTTGTCCTGATCTGTCCTGGGCTGACATCTGGCTCTGCTGCTGGCCGAGCACCTTGGCTGTGCCTCCAATCACCTACACAAACCCTTCACGGGACAGGCAGGCAATGGTGTTGGTTACTTCAGTTACTCAGTGCTTCAGGCCTCTAGTGGAAACATCAGCTCGCCCATCTCTAATGAGGGAACAAGAGACCATGTCTGCTTTAAATTAATTGCAGAGTTGTCATCTTGGTGAAGTTAGAAGTGCTTTTCTTGCACAAGGTACTACTCATCTCTGTGTAGAGAGGCCAGCACAAGGTCTACATGCCCAAGCTGCTCTAGAGGAACTTGTGAGGGCCTGGCTTGGCTTCAGACATGAATTTCAGCCACTAAGAAACCTTAAAGGGTGTTGGACCTAGTGAAGGTCTGGGCTCTGATCCACAGATCCTGGTCTACAACAGCTCTTGATTGCTTTGGCTTGAACAGTATCGCACTTTACCTTAAATGAATGTGGGCTTTGTGTTGAACAAGTGTGTGCCACTCCTGTTCCAATGCCCAGCGCAAATCTGGTGAGACTCTTCCCTCCCCATTATGTCTGGCATTGTACAGCTTGTATCGACTGTGTAAGCATGGTCCAGTGTGAAGGTGGTCTGCAGTGGCGGTGGGGTGAATGGCTGTGAGTAGATGTGCTAAAACAGAGGCAATCAAACGCAAGGCTGCCTGGCATGAACTGGTAAGGGAGGGTTGGAAAGGAATTGCATTGCCCATTCCCACTACACTCCAGCTGAGGGTCCCACAGTTGTCCTTGCCACCAATCTCCCCAAGTCCCCATGATTCCGTTGATCCCAGAGGTGCCATCCCTCACATCTGCTCATGCTCCCCTTACTCTTGCAGGTGCCTCAGGGGGAGTGGAACAACACGCTGTCTCGGGACAAAGACAGCGAGATCCCGTGCCGGCGCATGCGGAGCGGGAGTTACATCAAAGCCATGGGGGATGATGACAGTGAAGACTCAGAAACCAGCCCCAAACCATCCCCGAAAACTGCAGCTCGGAGGCAGAGTTACCTCAAGGCCACCCAACAGTCCCTGAGTGAGCAGAGCACCACCCAAAGGTAACACTGGAGCTCCTCCGGGAGCTCTGCATGGGTCTCCAAGGGCCACCCCAGAAGCAGTCCTTGGGGTCTAGCCAGCAGCACCCACATGGAGATCCCATGTGGTGATCAGAGCCCAGCAGGGCTCCTGCACACCAGCTCAGACTGCCCACGGGGCAGGCAAATGAGTAGACAAGCAGGACAGGAGAAGATGCGGCAAAGGAATGGAGAGAGCTTTCCATCCTGGTGACTCCAAATAGCCCTGGTGTTAGGAGCCTGCTCCAGGTCCCTGTCCCCTCAGTGATGGGGAGGGCACTGCTTTGATGGAGCTGTGTGAACTTCCTCTCTAAGCATCTGCTCCTTCGAGGGAGGGCAGCGATCCCAAGCCCATGATGCTATTTAGACATGGAAGATGCTCAGCCAGCATGGCTGAGGACACTTGGCAGGTAGCCCACAGGCTGCTGGGGCTGTGCCATCTGCTTTGCTCCACAGGTGTCCCAGGGACTCTGGGACCAGCCAGCAAGTGCCCGGTTGGCACACTAGGCTGGGTAATATCCTGAGGCCAGGAGAGATGAGCTAAGAGGTCTGCGACCAGGTATTGAGGGAGGAAGACCCACAGTGGCTTGAGCCAGATAGACAGCAGAGCAAGGGGAACACAGCAAAAGCTTGCTGGGCAAGAGGCTGGTCCTTGCAGGATGGGGTCTGTGTGGACCACCTGACCGGAGGTGATGCTGTGCAGTGTCCTTACCAGCTGCTCCTCTTCCCGGGACAAGGCACCCAGGGGCTGTAACAGGCTGTCAGTGTTTCAGATGCTGCCGCTCAGGAGGATGTGAGCAGCACAGAGGGGCAGGAGGAGGCAGCAGCCACCGCGGATGAAATGCTGATGTTCAGCAGACAGAGCCAGAAGGAAGTGAGGGTGCAGCAGGCAGTGTGGAGACCCCTCATGGTGGCTTCAGATTGCAGACCAGATGCTGCTTTCTGCTGAGAAATGGTGACAAAATTAACTGCAGGGAGCCCTGGAAATGCATGCTCTGAATCCATCCCTGTTCCCTGCCTTCACATCCACTTCAGGGGGAGCAGAGTTGGGTCCAGGGCTCTCTGATGCAAAATACCCAAATTGAGAGACTGAGGTTCTTCCTATCTTGGCCTTATTGTCCATTCAGGTCATGTCCATCAGCGTATGACCTCACCTGGGCTGCTGGGATCCAGCTGGAGCCCACAGACAGGCAGCTTTGAGGAAGGGGCTACGTCAGAGCAGGGTGTTTGAGCAGGAGGGGCAGAGCTGGACGAGCCGTGGATGCAGCTACATGGGAGAGGAGGGGTCTGGGCAGGGCTGGGCTGGATGCGGCCATTGCTGCGAGTGCTTGGTCCCCAGCAGGAGATTTGCTGGAGGGAAGGATCCTGCCTGGGAAGGAGGGGGCTCTGCAGCTCTTGGCACTGCGCTCCAGTGAGGGACATCGCATCCTGGTCTGCCCGTCCCCTCTGCCCCAGGTTGGCCAGGGCTTGTGCGGGGCACGGGACAGGCCGGAGCACCAGCCAGGCCGGTGCCGGAGCATGAGCACGGCTGCCATCTGCTGACCACCCCCTCACCTCTCCTCCCCTCACCAAAGAGCTTTTTGGATGCTGTGGCCACTTTGGTTGCTGCGGGGCCTCGCTGGGGTCCCCTGCCAGCCTGGCACACCTTTGGGACAGCAGCGGGGGCACCGTGCCCTGGCACAGCCCCATGCCAGCCCTCACCAAGATCCTTGGTCTCCTTGTCCAGAGTTGCTGGGGCCATCTCTGGGCTCCACCAGCTGAGGGGCACCGGACCTGTGGTTTGGGACAGGAGGGACTGCAGGGAGAAGGACAGTTGCAGCCTTAGCCAGGATGAGGCACAGAGGAGTGAGACACGATCTGTCCCTGTGAGAGGGTCTCTGCCCTTCCAAACTGTTACCTGCTTTGTGACTCAGTTTTCCCATGGGCAGGCTGCGAGGGTAGGTCAGGGTGAAGCCCAAAAGATGGGCACAGGGAGGCTGGCAGGGACACTGCCTGCCCCAGGACACAACTGACTCACACCATGGGTGTGTGGTGAGCTCACAGACAAAACCCTCTCAGGCCAAGGGAAACAAGGCAATAAACAAATAGCCCAGGGCTTGGGACACCACATTGCCCTTGGCTGCTCAGCAGTGGGTCCCCTGGGGGCTGGGTGTCTCCTCCATCTCCCCTGGCAGAAGAGACTACTCCCCGTGCTCATCACGCCCCGGGATGGAGACTCGGGAGGTGCCACAGTCCTTCCTGGAGGTCCACACGCTGCACAGGCTCCTGCCCAGCTGGGACGCACCCTGCCCTCAGCTTCACTGTCCCCCAGGCTGGTGAAGGACAGACCTCTGCACCCACGGCCCTGCTGGACATGGGGGAAATGGCACCCTGAGGGATTCAAGAGGGAGAGTTCCCACAGCTCACCCAGGCTGGCGTGTCCTCCGCCATGCCCCACCTGATCTGTGACAAGGACTCCTTCACACAGGGTCTCATGGTGGAACAGAAGAATGGGGGAGGCCCATCCTTCCCACATCCTTCCTCTTCCTCCCACGTCCCTCCCATCCTTCCACATCCCTCCCAGCCCCCATGTGCCTGGGTCTCAGCAGAGACCGTAGATGTGGTCTTGGCTGGGTCAGGCTCAGTGACAGCCCTGCTCTTCCCCTGCTGCAGAGGCTGCTGTTGAGCCCTGAGCCTCTGCATGGGGACAGTGCTTCTCGCAGAGCCTGAAGCAAAATGTGCTCTGGAAAGACCAACCCGCCCTGCTCCTGCAACACTGTCATTCAGGCTTGGGTCCCCTGGAACTTCTTCCAGATTATCTTTTGGATTCCTCTGCACGAATAAAAAAACCCAAAAAATCCTGCAGATGTTTCCAATTGCAAAGTCCACAAAATACCATTTAAAAGTCATTTCTCACCCCACCTCTCACCCGCTTACCACCAGTCCAGGCAGGGAAGAGCTGGCTTCCCTGAACCCAGCCCCCAGCATCAGCCGGTGTGAGAGCCAGTCTGTCACCAGGGCTGTGACTCTGGAGGCTGGCATGGATCCCATGTGCTCCCTGGGGTTCAGCTGGACTAACCTGGCATCTGCAGTGCATTCCCGGGGGCAGCAGGACCCAAGGTCTTGACCCCTCTCCTTCCCCTGCACCCCACAAACCTTCACCCGTGTGCCAGACTCCATAGCTCAAACCAGGGGCCGGCATGGTGAGGAAGTGCTTCCTTCTACTCCAGGAGCTGCAACAGGGGCCAAGCCGTGGACTCGGTGCCCAGCATTGTCTCCGTGCTGCCACGTGTGCCTGTGCCTGGCAGAGGGTGCTGTGGGCAGGGGTGGTCTGGCTCTCCTGGCAGGGCGGCAGCTCCAGCACAGCCCCAGCGCTGCCCCCACTATGGGGACACCCCTCACACCCTCTCTCTCTGCTGGCAGGAGCCTGGACCGCCTGGACTCTGTCGAGATCCTCCTACCTCCGAAGTTCCCAACCTGGGAGGAAGAATACAACCAGATCTCCGACAGCGTCAACGAGTCCAGTTGCATCAACCAGGTGAGATGCTGGAGCACTGAGCCCTGCTGCAGTGGCACACCCCAGTGAGAAAGGAGGTCGGCTGAGGGGAGAGAGGAACATCTTTTTCCCCCTTCAAAATAAGACACTGGCTGCGCTCCAGGAATTGCACACGCTATTCTCTAGCAGCTTTACCAAAGTATAAAGGCCAGCTCCTTAATTCTGATTCATATTAGACTCCCCTTCCCCTAGCTTTGCCTCCTCTCAGCACTGCTGGTGCAGCTGAAGTCACTCTGCCGTGGCCACAGGTATGGTAGCCCAGAGCGATGCTTCACAGCAATGGATGAAGCTCAGGGCTGCTCTGAGCGTAGGGTCCCACCATGTCACCACCCAGAAGCCACCCTGTTCACCCCTGCTGCAAGATCCTTGCCCACTGGGTGGGTACAGAGCCTGGGCCAACCTCACCTGTGCAAAAGGTGGCATCCAGCCTGGGACCCTGCAGCGGGTCACCGGGGACAGTAACCCTGCTTAGCTCTGAGGACCTCGTCCCTCGTGCAGCAGTGGACCCAGGAACAAGGTGCCTGTAATTTGGGAGACTGTCCTGCCAGCTAGCTGGGGATGTCTCCTTTGGATATTCCTGGTCCCCATGGGAAGGGCAAAGCCAAGGATGCCAGTGAGGTGCTGATGGTGGGTGGCAAACCCCTTGCCACAGGGTGGGCTCATGCCCTGACCCCGACCTCTGGGATGCAGTCAGTGCAAACTGGGTTTAACTCCCTGTGCCCTTGGGATTACTCTGGAGCAGCGTGGGGCTTGGGTGGCTATAAGCCATCTGCCTCACAGGCCAGGAAATAACCCATGCCAGGATGAGGCCTTTGCAGCGGTCCCGTGTGCTTACCTCAGCCCCGCGGGGCCCATCCTTTCTGTACGCAGGTGGAGGTCCCCGGGGCAGCAATGGCTCCACAAGCTTCGCCCAGCTGTTTCACTGTCGCCCTGGGCCTCTGTCACGTCACGTCTCTGTTCACACGTGTCTGCGTGGGAACACATGCACGCATGTGCCCCTTCTGCGCTGCTCTGCTCTGTCTGTGCGCAATGATCAAGGGCAGCAGCGTGAGGCAGGGGTTAAAACAGCGGGATGGGCATCACAAACCAGAGCATGGAGGAGGGTGAGAGGCGCGTGCCAGCGTTCCCCTCCAGGTGCGTGGGGCTCTGAGCCCTCCTCCGTCCCAGCCCAGCCTCTCCGGCCCCATGGCTGGTTTCTCCTGCTGTCACGGAGCGGTTGGAGCCCTTGGTGGAGAGCTTTGGGGAAGGGCACGGGGCATTGCTCACGGGTGTACTTGTTCCTTGTGGTCAGTCTCGTTCCTCGTACATCAACAGCAATGTCCTGGGTGTCTCATTGCACAGAGAAGGGGTCAAGACCGTCGCATTCCTGTCCTTTGCGTGTAAATGCATGTTTGAAGCCAGGTCTCTGCATGAAGACAATGGGTGGGCTGACTCTGTGCTCTGTCCCTGTCTAAAGCTGCCATTTAGCAGCTGAGTGCAGCACCCCCATGAAGACATCAGAAGGGTCTTGGAGCTGGAGGGTCTGAGCAGCCCACGATGTGCCAGGAGCTGCCCAGGCAAATGCCCCAGACCCAGACTGGTAGCACTGTGATGCTGGGGACACGCTGACTGCCACAGCACCCGCTCAAGCGTGGGGTTGCTGTCATCACGTGCACTCTGCCCACTTTCCTCCAAATCAGAGAGAATTCAGTTTGCAGCTGTGTTGGGATTTAGAGGCCTCCCACAAATTGTATATCTGTTGATCCAGGATGGAGCTGGTACAGCTGCCAGTGTGTGCTGGTCTGATCCTCTGGTGGGCCTGACCTGCCCTTTCATCCAGTGCCAGAGGCAGTTCCTCCCCTGCCCTCACTTTTGTGTGACCTCCAACACCTTCCTTGTGTGTCCAGCAAGACCCTAGTGTCCTCCCACACAGAAGCATCCCCAGCTCTGAATGACAAGTCCACTCCGCTTGGTTTTGTCCCAGCTGACGTCCGCCTTGCAAACCTGGAAGTCCAGGGTTCACTGGGTGTGCATGTCAGCTCCACCTGTCACACCAAGGGGACCGGTGGCCAGAGAGAGCCAGCTGGTGACCCCCAACACTGCTTATCCACACTTTGAGCTGTGCCCTGTGTAGAAGGGCCGGACCCAGCCCCCAGAGCCAAGCCTCTTCCCTTGGGTACATTTTGAACCTGGATTCTTCCCAAGATGGGTCATCTTGGGCAGCTCACACAGGGCAGAGCTCATAGGGTGGATGTGCTCTGCAGACCAGGGATGGAGGGGAGGAGAAGGCATTCCTCCCCACAGGCAGTGCAGTATCTGTTGGGCGTCTGTCCTTATGCCGAGTGTGTGCTGTGGCTTTGCTATGGAGAGAAGGCAGTATCGCTTCCGTGTGCCTTCTTCCTGGCGCAGGGACAAAGGAGATAGCAGCAAGGTGGCCAGCCCGACCCCATCAGGGTGAAGGACAGTTTCCCCGATGTGGAGCACTCAGACTCCCCATCCACCTCAGCTCTGTAGGCTGCGGGGGCCCATTGCTGCTCCTGGCCACGTTTTGAGGTGCTGGCCAATGCTGGGGGCTTTGCAGAGGTGCTAACTGGGAGCCACACCAGCCCTTATCCAGCAGCCACAGGCAACCCATGTGTGCCAAGGGGTGTCCCAGCATTGTGTGTCCCAAGTGTGCCCAGTGTATATATATTGATATATGGTGCATACAACCGGCTGAATGCATCAGCAGCTTTTCTCCGTCTGGGAGGCGTCCCGTGGAGCTTTGCTGTGCCATGTTTGTGCCACTGTCTGAGGGGCCTGTGCGGCATCTTGCTTGGCATCTTATGAGCTCTGAAGTTTGTACTGAAGTGTCAGCAGTAGTGGCCCCGGGGGACGGGCCGTCCGCTCCCCTCGTCCTCGGTCCCTGTGCAATGGCTGTCTGTGTGAGGGGCTCACCCATTCTTAGCCTTTAACCTTCTCCAACTCTTTCTTCCAGATCTTTGGAACCCCCTCACTTATCCCTCAGATATTTACCCATGGAGAGCAGGTACCATCCCGCTGGCGTTTCCCTCTTCCTTCCTCATGGAGCTTTCTCGGGTCAGCCCGACACCCGCGGCAGGCTGCAAGGCAGGCTGTGGGGTCAGCCGACACCCGGGGCCAGCAGCCTCGTCCTCGGTCCCTGTGCAATGGCTGTCTGTGTGAGGGGCTCACCCACTCTTAGCCTTTAACCTTCTCCAACTCTTTCTTCCAGATCTTTGGAACCCCCTCACTTATCCCAGATATTTACTGCCCCAGGTCGCTCCGGGGCTCGGCCGGCAGCAGGAAGAGGAGGAGGAGGAGGAGGAGGAGGAACTCTTGACCTGGGCACCTCAGGGCAGCTGCAGAGCTTGGTTCCCCTGGCCCCAGCAGGGGGTTAGGGACCGTCAGTTTTAGTGGGAAAGTAGATGAACTTTTTGAGCCAAACCTTGTGGAGCTCAGATGCCAATGCTGGGCAGAAATACTGTCTTTGAGGCCAAAGAAAGGACCAGGAGAGATGGAAGTGGGCAACAGGGCCAATCTCAGCATCTCTCATCTGTATTTCAGAATGTTCTGCCTTAGGCTGGCTCTGGTTTAACCCAGGTGAGCCTCTCCTGACTCCAAGTTTGACCAGCCTCTGCTACCGGAGAGCAGGGCAGGGCTGGGGGCACGGGTGGGAGGGATGTGGGGGCAGCAGGAGAAGCAGGGAGCAAAGCTGCCCCTGCTCGGCTCACACCTCGCTGCGGCCTGCCGCCGAGCCCTCTCCTGGTCCCTGACTGCGGACAGGGCTAGGATGGGTTCCCAACGGTGCCACCCAGAACCAGTCCAGGCAGCCTGTCCCTGGTCAAGCGTGGAGGCTGTCCCCCTAGCCCACACCTTCCCACCTTCTCTCTCCGTGCTGCACCCTGCTGGAGGGCCAGGTCATCTCTCCCCACCAAGAAGCACGCCTGCCCCGGCAGGGTCTCACGGCTGAGGCTGGGGTCTCCCAGCTGTGCTGGTGGGGCAGGGGGACCTGTCAGGGGCTGGACAGGGATTTGAGCCTCACGTGCTCTCAGCCTCTCCATCAGAGACTGGGGTTTTTTTTGCAGGCACTGTGGTGGTAAGTCTCTCCTACTCCACGAGCAGGGACCCTCTGGCCTCCAAGGAGGGCCCCCTCTTCTCTGTCTTTTGGCAGAGAGCCCAGGCATCCTGCACCCCACCAGCACTGACCACTGCACCTCCCGGTCTCGTCTGCCATAAGCGGGACCACAAAGGAGCGGCGGCAGGGTGGCTGCAGGGAGAGGAGCAGGAGGGGAAGGGAAAGGGCTGCCTGCAGGCAGGGAGTGACTGGCTCTGCCCCTCTTCCCGTGCAGGTGCCAGAGCCGGAGCTGGGGGAGCAGTACGAGGCGGTCTGCGACTCTACCTACAGCGAGGCCGAGTCAGCCACTGCGGAGGTGCTGGACCTGCCTCTGCCCAGCTACTTCCGCTCCCGGAGCCACAGCTACCTCCGAGCCATCCAGGCGGGCTGCTCCCAGGAAGAGGACACGGGCTCCGTCCGCTCCATCTCCCCCCCGCCGGCGGGCAGCCTCAGCGGCAGCAGGACCCTGCCCACAAACAGCAGTGAGTGCCAGCGGTGTGCGACGGGGAGGCGGAGGGGAAGGGGCGCGAGGCCAGCGGGGACAGGGGATACTGCTGCTGACTACCTGGGAGGTGTCAAGCATGTGAGGCGCTGGGCTTCAGATGCCTGTATCTCCAGCCACGGTTGTCCAAGACTTTTGTGGGCTTATGGGGGCTTGCTCTGTGCCAGAGAGGGAGGTCAGCAGCCAGGCACACTGCTAGGATGGCTGGGGATGGATCTCCAGATGCAGGCACTGAAATGGCAGACAGGCTCTGGTTGCTGGGAACTGGCTGGCACTGCTGATGTGGCCTGCAGAGGTCCGGGAGAGCTCAGAAGTCTTCACTCAGTCAAGCCAAACCCAGGCCTGAGTGCTGCAGCTGGGAGCACCCCGCAGGATGCCCACCTTGCCCAGGAGCACTGGCTGCCCTCTCTGCCTGAAGTCCTGTGGGGCTGCGGGTGCAACGGGAACCTGCAGCACAGGCAAGCAGCCCTGCTCCCCTACACTATCAATAGCTTCCATCTTCCTCCTCCTCCATTCCACTATGCATCTCATTATCCCAATCCAGGCTACAGTTGACAGGTTTGACCTCTGTCTGAAACTCTCAGGAACAAAGGTGTCTACTGGGGACTCTGCACCAGTTTTCCCAGGGTCTGAGCATATCCTGATCTCTGCAGCCCCTTCAGCCAGAGGCAGAAATTGGGGCTGACGGGAGGAGGGAGGGCAGAAAGCATCTGCCTCCGTCCCTCAGTGATGGAGGTGTGACAAGGCTTTGGGGTTCATCATGAACTTCTTTGCAGGTTCCCACACAGGGCAGGACTCCTGGAAACAGGTCTGGGGGATTGGATCTGGGGGAAAAGGTGAATGGTGTGAATTTGCCCCCTCCAGATCCACAGGGTTTGTGATTTTGCCCAGCATAGTCACAGGCAGATCTGACCCTGCCCAGCCAGGGGCCTGAGCTGTGGCCAGTGAGGGCAGGACCCCAGCCAGCCCAGACCTGAGCAGCACAGCCCAGGCAGTGGTGTGCCAAACGTAGGGCTCACCAGCACGGTTCCTGTGCCATCCAGGCAACAGCCCAGCTCCATGCAGAGGCAGAGCGGTTCTGTGTGTTGGGCTCACAGCACTTGCACCCCGGTCCCTTCCCCTGCAGGCAGGGCAGAAGAGGTAACAGGCAGACAGCATCACCCTGATGCACCCAGTCCTCAGGCTGCTCCCTAGAGACCAGTCTTTCAAAATCTTCTGACAGTAAGATGCTGGGAGTTCATCCTTTGGCTGGACTGGCTCCAACTGCTTTCTCTCCCAGAGACAGAATTGCAGCAGCCACGTAGGTGTCTAACACATCAAGTCCTATTTGCCCCTCTCCATCAGGTGTACATAGACTAGAGACCCCAACATCCCTGTTGTGGGGTAAAACCAGGTCTTGCTCTGAGTTTCAAGGCACTAACAAGCCCTCCCAAGCCCCAGAGCCCAGCACCCTGCAGCCTCAGTGCACTGAGTGGTCGGCAGTGTTATACCCAGCTCCAGATGCCCACCTGGCGCTGGATGCGGGCATTATTCGTTCCAGGCCCTTCTCTTTTGATTAGTAATTACTGTACTGGACAAGAGCCTGGCTTCTCCCTCCGATGTGAGTCAGGACTGACTCCATCCCCCAGAGTTGGGGTGATGCTGCAGGTAGCCCCGTTCAGCTGGTGTTTCTCACCAGCTGGGCCATCTCTCCCAGGAGGCAGCTCCCAGCATCGCAGCAGAGCAGGTATCTTCGCCAAATGTCTTGCTGGATCTGGCTCTCCTGCATGCCAAGCCCTCCCTTCCCCAATGGCCAGAGCACCCAGCACCTCTGGGATGGGTCAGGGCTGCCTGTGCTCCCTGGCAGGACCACCATGTCCACCTGCAGTGCTGCCAGAGGAGGCTCCTGTGAACGCCCCACGCCTTCAGCACCCAGGTGGGAAGCAAGGAAGGCAAGTGCTTTTTTTCCCCACGATGTAATTTTGCCAGGATGCTGGGGTCACTGGCTCAAGACAGTAAGGAACGGCAAAGGCTGCTCAGACCTCGCAGTGCTTGGAAAGCCCAGGAGAAAAGAGATGCAAGAGCTGGTTTTCTGTCTCATCCAAAAATGAGCTGGTGCTGGCTCCCCGCTGCAGAGACCAGCACCGCCCTGGCCCAGGGACATGTTTGGTGCAGCCAGGCTCCACCTGTGGCTGCCTTTACCGAAGCACGATCTGCAGCAGTGGCTTCACTCCCTAGCGGTCCACGCCTCTCCTGGAAAACACGTGCAAGGGCTGTGGGTGGCAGGGAGGAGCATTGCTCTGGAGATGCTGCTTCTGCAAATGGCTCCTGAAGGCCTGAGCAGAGCCAACAGGTTCGGCTGTGCGAAGCTGCAGTGTGGGGAGCAGCTCTGCTCTCACTGCAGCATTTTGGCTGGTGCAAGGCCCTCCCGGGGTGCCGGGGGGTAGGAGCAGGCTCCAGAGAGTTGGCAGGCTCTTGCCAGAAGAGAAACCTGTTACCTTTCCATGATGCTTCAAGTCACTTGATCTGCATCACTTTTGCATCATTTTTTTCAAGGCAGCCTGTGTCCCTCTCAGCTCCTGGACAGCCCCAGTGCTCCAGGTGAGGCTCAGCCGTAATGCAGGGCACAAGGAGCTACGGGATCCCAACCTGGGAACGGTTTTGGGAACTGGTTAAAAAAGGTGATGCCTTGGTGTTCCCAGACATGGAGGTGCCTGGACATCATGCCAGGCAGACACCAGAGTGGGCAGGAGGAGTTCGGCATCTCACCAGGGTTGTAAAGTGCTGCTAGCGGCGTGGAGGCAGACAGCAAGCCCTGTCACCCACAGGGATGTCGGGGTCAGGTCCAGCGGGGCAGGCTGCTCTTGGCATGTGCTCTGGCAGTGAACCACAGAGCTATGGGGGGGTTTCACAGCAGCCTCAGCATATCTGCCACAGGCAAAGCTGCCGGAGCGCAGGAGTGGACTGTTAGTGGGAGCCAGATTGGAGCCCTGTCCCAGCAGCGGGCAGAGGGGGGAGCGGGAAGGGGAGCACTGGCAGCCTTCGTGCCCAGCTCCAGGCCTTCCCACCCAGAGACATGCCCGTGCCCTCGTGTCTCCCCTTCAGTGGTCTGCACTCTGGGCTCATCACAGTCAAAGTCCCCAGGATGAGGCAGGAACAGGAAGAGAACCCCAGGGAAGGACGGCCTGCTTGCTCAGCCCCATCCCTCCTTCCTACCACCCTCTCTGCTCTGCTTCTGTCCCACGCTCTTTCGACCCTGGCTCACCCCACTCCCCACAAGCCCACCCCTGCTCCTTGCTGGCAGTACAGCCCATGCTGAGCTCAGCGCTGCAGCAAATCCAGGCTAACACCGGGAAGCAACAGCAGGCATAGCACAGAAGGGGGCTTTCAAAATGACTGGTTGCCACCTCTCTCTGACGTGACCCAGCAGAGATCTGCTGATTTCTACAACATCCTCCAGCCCTTTGCATTGGCTGCTGGGGCTTGGGGAGGGAAACGTTTTTGATGGAGATGGTAGGAGAGAGGAGCATCTGTGTTTGTGCGTGTGCATGATGGGGAAGGCAGGAGACATATCTGGATGGCAGTCACTCCTTTAATCAGCCACCTGGGCTCAGTTCCCCCTGCAAATGTGCATCACTGAGGGTTTAATTGGTTGGTGTTGTACGAGAGGGGCCTCCCGAGCAGCAGATTGGTACCTCTCAGCTTGACGGTATCAGTCTGCACCAATAGAGAGAGGTGGGTGCACCATCATCTGCAGGTCTAATGGTCGCTCATGGCCTCTGCTCCACGCAGGGCTCTGGGGTGAAACAACTGAGAACCCTTGCCCGTTCCCTTCCCACGGACACCCTCCTGCACTGCCATCCATGCACCAGCCCAGAGGAACTGTTGCCATCACGTGCCCAGTTCCTGAGCGGCGGATTGGGTTTCTTCTCTGTAGGGACACATCTTAAAGAGGCACCAGCAGCAGCAATGCTGTGGCTGACACAGGCTTCACATTCTTTGAGGATAGCATGGGGGGTTGAATTGTAAAGCAAAGGGATTCAGCCACCAGCTGAGGGCATGAGGAGGTGCAGCGAGCTCCATTTCACGGAGGGCTGCCAGTCTTGGGGTCTGCGTGGGGAGCACGGCTGGGTGGGAGAGCCTTGACAGCTGTCACACCTCTGACAAGCCAGTTCCTCCCACAAACGCCTGTGTCACTCGTGCATTACAAGGCAATTAGCTCCCATTTGACAGCCAGCGAGACAGATGATGAGCTGCCGTTGATCAACCTTAAACAAAGCTTTGTGCCTTGGAAGCCGGAGACTCAAAAGCCCCAGTGAAACCTATTCATCTAATTGCCAGGCGTTCAGCAGACAGCCACACTGGCTCCTGAGCATTACAAAGGGCTCCCCAGCCCCAGCTCCTTCTTATTAGAGGCAGCACTGGGAATTGCTTGCTTAATAGACTGCTTGCAATACAGAGCTGAATATTTGATGTCCAGGGGAAACAGGAAAGCAGAGGTGAGCAAAGCACAGCAAAAGGAGGTGAGAATCCCGAGTGCAGAGACCCCAGCCCAGCCTCCACCCAATATACCAGTGACAGCAGGGAAAGCTCACACCGAGCCAGTTCCTACTGGAGCTCTTCCCAGTCCTCCCTATGCCGTCTGGTAATGTCACCCTTGCTCAGAGCATCCTGCCCTGGGATTCAGCTGCCTGCTCCCAGAAAGCCCAGGTGCCCGGCTCCTTATCCTCTGCCCAAATCTCTTCCAGGGAGGCCAGGGAATCCAGCTCTGCCTCTTCCTCCAGGACTGGGCTATCTCTGTTGACCTGTCTCACCAATGGTTAAGATGTCCCTGGGTGTGTGAGCTCTGGAGGGCAGTGACCCTCCAGTTCGCCCTTTCTGCTGACCCCATGATGGTAGCTCTGGCTGCAGGCCCCCAGCTCAGCCCAGCACGGGAACCACAGCACCTGGAGCAGAAGGAGCTTGAGAAAGTCTAGCCCTTCAGGCCAGCCCAACCGT